GCCTGGCTGTGTTCAACCAGTCCCGTGTCCGCTCTGGGAGGGATTTGATATTCCTTGAAGCTTGGCAGGGCTTGGGAGAGGTGCCAGCCAGCCCTTGGTGTCCCTGGGAATGCCCTGTGTGGGATGGCTCGCTGGGATGGGCACTGGGATGTCCCGTGGGGTTGGCTGTGGTCGGGGTGTCTGGTGTGAGCTCTGGAGAGCAAAGGATGCTCCGAGAGTGCCGTGGTTTGGAGAGGCAGGTGGGGCAGTGCCATGTCCCGCTCACAAGCACAGTCCCAGGGCTTCCCTGCTGGAAGTGCTCGTGCTTCCAGCTGATCTGATCCCCCTTCCTGGGGAGAGGAACCTCACTGGGGTCGTTCTTGCTTGGTTTCTGTGGAGCAGCAGATGCTCTCTGCTGCCTGATCCCGTGAGCGTGGCCAGGGTGTGATGGCACCAGACAGGTGAGGAGAGCCAGGGGGGTGAAGGTGAGCGCTGAAGGCTGGCTCTTCCTGAAGAAGTTGCTGGGAGCAAGATGAAAGTGGGAGATGAAAGTGCCCAGAGGTGAGATCCCATTAAAGCAGTGCCTGGGCTTAGCCAGTCCCTGGTTCCTTAAATATCTTCTAATTTACAGTAATGCTCTAGATTCGTCTCAGCTCCCCCAGACTTTTATTTTAATCCCCTTTCCACATTTCCATGTGTTTATGTGTTAATTAAAGGGTAAAAAGCCACTCTCGGAGCAATCCCGGCTGCTGCTTCTCTTCCAGCCGAAGCCTTTCAAGATTAGCAGCCGCTTCCTAAAGCCGGCGGTGCCGGAGCAGGACGGGCAGGCTGCTCAACTTTCCGTAGCTCGGAGCAGATCCGGTGCCTGGGATCCATCCTCCCCGAGTCCTCTTCTCCCAGCTGTGCAGAGGAGCATCCCACGGACTTCCGAGAGCTCTGGGGGGATTTGCTGGGTCCGTTGCACCTCCGGCATCTGCTGGTACCTGCGGGAGCAGCTGCTGGAGGGAGGATCCTCAGCCTGCAGCCTCAGCTCCCCTCCACGTCCTGGACAGGCTGGAGCTGGAAGGAAGGGTCTGGAAAACGCACGTTGGGGCCGGGATGTGGTGGGAAGGGCGGAAATGGCCTCTGGAACGTCTCAGTGCTGTGCTGTGTGTCAGTGTGTGGTGTCACCTCTGCTGTCCTGTGCTGGTTCATCACTGGGGCCTCGCTGAGCTCGTGGAGATGTGGGAGCATTTTCCCACTGGTGTTTCCCACCGTTCTTCCTCATCCCTCCCTGGGTGACGGTTTTGAGCTCTTTGAGTTTGGATCTGGGGAAACTGAGGCCGAGGGGCACCCCCGGTGGTTGGGGACAGGGATTTGGAGACAGGGACTCGAGGACAGGGGCAGAGGGGAGGAGGTGCCTGTGGCACTGGGGCCATACGTGGCACTGGTTCCTCTGGCAGCCCGTGAAGGGCAGCCCAAAGTTACAGAGCCCCTGAGGATCGTGGTATTGAGGATAATTAAAAATAGGGAAAGCTGCTAAAATAGGTGTTGAGGCAATTGCTTCTGAGGAGCTCGTGGTGGGGCTGTACCTGTTCGTGCGGGTCCCAGGGGCCAAGAGGTGCCATTTAATTTTCGTGTCCGTGGAGCAGAATCAGGTGGAGAAGTGGCATCGCTTCGGGTGGGTCTGGACACCCCAAAATTCCTGGGGAGCTTTTGGGGAGAAATCACTGTAAATGCTCCATCTGCTCTTCCTGCTCCTGAAGATCCCACATCCTTTGGTGCAAGCGTTTGTTCCGAGTCCGTCGTCTCTCTCTTGCCTCTGTGTCCATCCTTCCCTTTCTCCCAGTGCTCCAGAGGGCTCCATGGGAGTGCCAGGCTCCGTGGCGGTGCCAGGCTCCGTGGCGTGGCACACACGTGGTGCTCCCACGGGGAGCGTGGCACACGCGTGTCGCTCGCATGCGGCGGGAGCCGTGTCCAACATCCCGGCGGCTGATCCGCCCCCCTCCCTCGCAGGGAAGCTCCGGGCATCCATCAGCCTGTTAATTGCGCTAATTAGAGAGTGTGGAGGTGTTAATTGGAAAACCCCGGGATCGTGCCTGTTTGCGGGAGGGATGGATGTCAATAAAGCGGGATTGATGACTCGGCGTGGCGCGTGCACCGCGCAGGTTCGCGGCGAGTCAGGGGATGTCAAGGAAATGTTACTGCTCAGACGAAGCAATTGTTAATTAAAAGCAAGGGTAATTAAAACACCCTCGTTGCCATATGGTCCCGCTGAAGGCAGGGGGATTCGTTGCTCCGTTTGTAATCTCCGTTTCCTTTTCTTTGTCCTACGGAAGGTGCGTGGTTGAGTAAAAGGGGAAAAAAAAAGGCAGAGCGGTGGTTCAGCGAGGAGATTTGGAGTCTGAAATGGTAATTAATGGTAATTAACGATCCACTGGCGCAGCTTCTGTTGCTGTTGCCATTGGAGGGGGCTCCTCCCTCCCTCCCCTTTTAACTAAACCCACCCTTTCCCACTTTATCCGGGTGTTGCATCTTCCTGCTGACTGTGTGGACACGGTCCCTGCCTTTCTGCCTGGGGGAAGGTCTGATCCTGATTAGACCCTCCGGATACCAGCGTATGGAGAATCCCTGAAATCCTGGCTGTGTTTGAAGTGCAGTAGATGAGAAGCAGGAGCTGGGATGCTGTGGATCCCCCCTGGCTGTGTGCAGGGGTGCACGTGTGCTCGGCATCGCAGCCGCTCGCGAGGCCGAGTTTCGCTCTTCCCGGTGTAGCCTCAGTCATCCCGGATCAGTCCTGGCTGGAAAAGTGCTCGTTCCTAATTTAAATCCTCTTTATAACGTTGCAGACACTGGCTTCGTTTTTTTTTTTTTCTTTAAGGTTTTGTAAAACTTTTATAGGAATGGAAATATTTTCATTATTATTATTATTATGACTTTCTTTTATGACTTCCCTTGCAGCGTTGGGATCCCAGACGCTCCAGCATCCCGTAGGGTTTGTGAACGGGAAGTCGAGTTTTACTAGACTTGGAGAGGGAACCCAACTGGCCCGGTGTCCCCGGCTCCGGGAATCACCCGGCCTGCGGGAATCTGCTCCAGCATTCCCGCCTCTGGCAGGGCCGGGGCCGCCGGAACGAGCCCACAGCTCCTCCACCAGAAGAGATTTCCTCCTAATTCCCAATAGTTAAGCTTCAGTTTATGCCCGAAGCCAGGAAAGTTTTATATCCTTTCCAAAACCTTTTTTTTTTTTTTTTTTCCTTTTTTAATACTTCCTGTTGTAACTCTGGATATTCTTGTTCTCCGTATAAAAGTCAAATCCCTGTTTGAATCCCGACGAGTTTCTGGCTGCGGTGATGCCGTGTGACTGCTGGACATGGGCAGAGCCCGGCACTCCCTGTGGTGCCTGGTCAAAACACGGAGCAGGCAGTGGATTTCAGAAGGAAAATGGGAATAGGAACAGCAATAATTTAATATTTCTGCAGGCATTTGTTTGAAATTGAAACGGGGGAAGGAACAAATGTAGTTTATAAGGCAAAAAGTGTTTTCTTCCTTCTAGATTTTTACTCCTAATGCAGCATCCTGTGAACACCTCATCCTTTCTTGAACCTTGGGAAGCTGCTCCAACCGTGCCATGCTCTCATTCCTTCTGCTGTGCTTCAACCAAACCCAAATCCCAGTAATCCCGTTAACCTTGAACTGTCCCGCAGCTCCTGGTGTGTCACCCTGTGTGGATTCGGGAGCACCGGGACAGTGGGAGGGAACCAGCAGCTCCCCATGGGAATTAATGTCAGTCATATACCCTGCGGAAATGACTTTTGAAATGCATATAATCTCAAACATGCAAATGAGCAGCTCGCTGCACCCTGTTTAATATGAATGATCAGCCCTGAATAGCGATTATTACACGCCACATTTCAGCAATTATGTTGTTCGTGGTTTGTCTCTCCGGCTTTTGGGGGGGGGGGGGGAGGAAATGGGGAAAAAAAGAGGGGGAGAAAAAAAAGGGAGAGGCAGTGTTGCTTCTCCCTGTCCTCTTTATTCCCCTCTCGTTTCAAACTCTGCGAGCGGCGCTGGGTGAGACTGATCCTGCGCCGGTGGGGATGGAGACGGATGGAATGGGATAGAACTGTCCTCTGCTTTTCCACAGAGGAAAGTGTGCTGGAAGGAGGGAGAGACCCTCACTCTGGGGGGGTTCCTTTGCCCCTGATCACTCTGTGTGTGTGTCAGGGCTGGATGTGGCCCCAGGGGTTCTGTTGGAGTGGCAGGAATTGATGTTGGATGCGGTGGTTCTGTTTCCTCCAGTGCCAGCCCAGATCCAGGAGTTTCTCCCAGAAAAGGGGACCCTCAGGTTCACAGCCAACAACCTGCCCACTAATCCCAGCCAACTGAGCAAAGGCTGGGAGGAAGGGAGGGTTTTCCAGCTGATGTGTCGCCGTGTTCTCGTTGCCGCGTCCCAGCTCTGCTGAAACTTTGGGCTTCCTCGGCCTGCCAGCAAAAAAACCTTCTGCCGGCTGGTTTTTCCTGCCAGGTGGTTTTTGCTGCTGGGAAGTGCTGGTTTGCTGGGAGCTGAAGCACTTTGAGGAAGTGTTTCAACTTTGCTGGGATTTTCACAGTGAGATCTGTGGCACAGGCTCCTCGCACTCTGTGTGCAGCCTCGCTGGGACTCCAGCTGTGCTGTCTCCAGCATCTCAAAGTGAAATATTTTGGGATTCAGTGAAAATACCCGGATTCCTGGGGCTTTATGTCTTGCATCAGGCTCAGAGAAAGCTGGAATCGTGGGTTTTCCTGAGGAACGTGTTGCACTTGCCTTGCCCAGGGATGTGCAGGGCCGACAGAGTGTCTGTGGCGCCTCGTGCTGCTGCACGTTTTATTTTTTGGGATAAACTGAACGCAGCTAAAACTGGACGGGGTTTGCCATCCCACCCCTGCAGGGTGTCACTGGGATCAGGGGCAGGGCGGGCGGAACGGGGACGCCAGCCAGGGATCCCGCACTCCCTTCTCAACCTCTGCTCTCCCTTCCTCCTCCTCCTCCTCCTCCTCAGGTCCTGCTAGCGAGTCATGATGGTTGAATCTGCCTCGGAGACGATACGTTCCACCCCCTCAGCCCAGAACGGGGTGAGCAGCCTGAGCCAGCAGCCCGATGGCGGCGGGGGCGGCGCGGGGGGCGGCGGGCGCGACGGAGCCGCCGGAGAGGCCAACGGAGAGATGAGCCCCGTGGAGCTCCTGCACTTCCAGCAGCAGCAGGTAGGACGGACACCCCTGTTCCTTCTCTCCAACCTTACACAGGGCAGCGCAGAACTGGGTCTTTCCAGGGTGTGGTTTGGGGGCAACGCTTGGTTTTACCCCTCCTCGTCCCCTGGGTTCCACCAGGCTTGGTCGTCCCTGTTGGGACCGGGGTGTGGATGCTGCCCCAAAAAGCAGGTGCCTGTCCTTGGGGTGCACATCCCTGGGGAGATGGAGCCCTTCTGTCCATGGGGTTTCTGGTGCCCCAGAGATGGCTCTGTTCTGAGGGGGGAGATCCTGCCTGCTCCGTCCCCCATTGGTCTGGGAAAGCGGTGAGGAAGAGGAGGAATGTGAGGCCAAAGCCTTTGGCTGTAGCACAAGAGCAGGTGTTCTCCAAGGCTGTATTTGGTTGTCCAGGTGGGTGAGTGGAGCTGGTCCCCCATTCCCTGGGGCTCCTGGTGCCTTCAGCTGGAGAATTAACCTCACACATGTGGCTGGGAACACGTGTGACCGTGCCATGTGTGTGCAGCAGCTCTGTCCCCGGGCACACGTGTGTGCCCCTCGGGGAGCCCCTGGCACACACGTCCCCTCAGGCAGCCACGGGGAGGGGGGGTGCCGTGCCTGCAGGTTACCTTTCAAAACAAACTTTGGCAAAAACATAAATTTTCCTGCTCGGCTACTAAATAAGGCAATGATCCCTGCCTCGTACGGAGATCGCCTCCCTGAGCCATAAATTCCAGCGTGAAAGCTGTAAAAAATTGCTGTGTCTGATACTTTAGTAGTGAGTGCTGTAAATCCATTACCTGGATAACAGCCGTTTCGCACGCAGTTAAGCCCCTGTTCCCCGGATCCGAGGGGTAATCATGCGTGTAATGCTCCTGCCAGTGCCCGCCGAGGAGCCGCCCGCCCTCCCCTCCCCGAATTTCCCCTCCCCGAATTTCCCCTCCCCGAATTTCACCGCGCGGCACCCGGAGCCCAGGGGGGGGTTTGGAACAGGGAGACCCGTGATCCCACACAGCCAAAATGATGCAAATCGTGGGTGTGAAACAGGGGTATCTCCTCCAGAAAATCAGCATAAAAAAAAGGCTTTTCCGAAGCAGAGCGCTGCGCTGTCGGCTCGTCCCTGTGGATGCTCCTCGGGCTCTCCTGGTGAATCCCTTCCTGCCCTGATGTTTCATTTCACCCTTTTGCATTTCTTCTGTCGGGTTCCTGGTGTGGTCACCCCCAGGGAAGCTTGCTGGCACATGGAATTATTAAGGCAGAGGGTTTGGTAAACTTCCAAAACCAAGTGGCATCTGCAGTGCCAGCGCCTGGGGAAGGGGGAGGACCCATCCCCGGGACTATCAATCTTCCTGCTTCAGGGAGCAGGCTGAGCACCAGCTGGGGTCAGGAATAAATGTCCCCATATCGGGAGTTTTGGGCAATTAGGTGCTTTATGGAGGCTTTGCACCATCCTCGGGAGCATCCCAGCGTTCTCCCCGGGTTCTCGGACCACTGGGCTATTCCCAAATCCATCCCAGCTCCCAGAATGTCGGCACTCAATCCTTATTCTTACTGAACTTTATGAAATGCCCAAGAAACCTTCGGAAGCCTGGAGGGGGGGGGATTTGTTTGGGCGATGCAGCTCCCGGGGGCTCGTGCTCTGCCCCCGTTTTGGTCCAGTTTGGGCCTTTTCCAGGGGGTTTAAAGCACCTCTGCTTTCACCCCCTTCAAAGGGTGACCCCAGACAGCTCTTTGCAGGGACTTTGTGGGTTCAGGCTCTTCTCTGAGGGTGCTGGAGGTGGGATCTTGAGGGGGAGAGGGGGTGTCATTGGGTGCTCAGGGACCCCCGAGGCTGTTTTGTGGCTTCTGGGATGTCCCCAGAGCAAGAAACCATGGGTGTGTGGCAGCACCAGCCTGGTTTGCTGAGACAGGGGCTCCCAGCTCGGTTCCAGCTCTGCTCCCCCGTGGAGCACAGTGTTCCATCTCCATCCTCGTCCTTCCCAATCCATGTGACTGCAGAGCATCCCGTGGTCCGGAGCGTCTGAAGGGAGAGCGGGAGAGGAAGAGGGGCAGGTCCGAAGGGAGAGTGGGATGGGGTGGGGAAGGAGCATCCCCCTCCCCTGCCTGGCTCTCCCCCAGCCTGGGGGCTGTCGCTTGGGTAAATCCCTGGATTTCAATGGTGGGATTGGGCTGAAAAGCCTGAATGGCTCCCGCCCGCTTTGTGCCGGGGTTGGTGGAGGGGAGAGGTCGGCCGGGGGCAGGGGAGGGCCCAGGACCCCCCCCCGCCGTTGCTGTGGGAACGTGGTGGGACCTCCGGCACTGCCGGGCTCCAGAGGGCCCCACTGGCCCCTCCTGCCATGCCAGGCCCCCCCGGAATTCCCGGGGGAGGAAGGCTGGGCAGGAAACGGGGGCAGCGGGGTGATGGGGGAGTCACATCCCTGGGGTGGGAGCAGGAGGGGGGATCCTCTGGTTTGGGTATTGGGAGTGATGAAGACCCAGGGGTGGGCTTTGCACAGGCAACTGGTGCTGCTCTCCCACGATTTGGGGTTCTCCAGGGTTTCCTTGAATTCCTGGAAAAAACCCCAGGTTTCCAACTCTTATCCTGGAGCTGGAGTTTAAATCCATGGTGTGCAGAGAGCCTGGGGCTTGGGGGTCATTGCAGCTTTGGGGTGCAGGGGTGAAAAGCCTGGAGGTGCTCGTGCAAGGATGTCCTGGGAGGACCATGGGGAAAATCCCCGAGTCCGGCACCGAACGGGAGCTTCTTCCAACTTGCAGCCCTTGGAAAAGGAGCCATCTGGAAAATCCAGCTGCTCTAGCGTTGTTTGGTGTTATTTTATTGTGCAAAAAGTACATTAAAAAGTGCAGTTTATTGCAGACAGACGTCAAAGAAATGGGGAATAATAAACAAAAATAAGTCTTGTTTTTGAAAAGAAGCAAATGGGACCTTTTTGGGAGTTGAGGAAGGGTGTGGAGGGGGGAGGAGAGGCACTTTGCTGCCCTCAGAGAGATACCATTCCATAAAACATGTGATCACATCTCAAATATATTGTGTAATCCTCTATTATTAGGGTATTTAAGATAAAAACGAGGCTGGAGCACTTAAGTGAAACTCATCTCTCTATTCGCTTCCCTGATTCATATTTCATATTTTACTGAGGACAAATGCAGGAGCCTTTTTTTTTACTCTTTTTTCCCCTTTTTTTCCGTGGAATGGGATTGTCAGGAGCGTGTTCCTTGTGTTCTTCATTAGTGGGGATGGGTTTAACCCCTCGCCTGCGAGGACTGAGGAGGCAAGAGCAGATTAATGAAGTCCAGGAGCATTAGGGCAGGGGAGCACAGCTGGGGCTGGGACACAGACATGGAGTTGGGTGTAAAAACTACTTTTTTTTTCGTTTCCCTGTGAAGAATTGTGTCATTTTTGTTAATCTGGATCTCTTGGAGTCATTTGGTTCTGGTTAAGCGGGGCCGGGCTGGGCTGGTGGAAGTGCTCCTCAATATGGCATCATTTACTGTTAATATCCAGCTAAAAATATCCGTGTGTGTTGTTTTAACGGCTCTAATTCTGGAATGTGACGATGTCATTTTTATGAGGTTAGTGTAAAAAATCTTCCTTTTTCTTTTTTTGCCATTTTTTCGTCCCTTCCCAACCTCTTTCCACCCTCTGAAAGAATCAGAGGGAAAAGGGAAGATACAAACTCTCTTACAGGTCCTCTTACCCTGCAAAATTTCTTGGTCTAATGTCATGTTCAGGTGGTTTTTCACTCATTGGAGGGTAAAACCCCACGTAAAGCTTTGATCCAGGTAGAAAATCCCTCGGCTAATTTTGGGCAGCAGTTTCCATGGTGGTGACCCTGCCCCTGGCTCTGGCAGCTGGAGAGTCTGGACACTGCTGGGTGGAATTAAAAACTCTGTTGTCATAAAGTGAAATACCTGGTAAATAAGGGAATTTAAAATATCCTGGGCAAGGTTTTCCGTTGTACTATGATTTTTTGGTTGGGTTTGTTTGGGTGGTTTTTGGGATTTTTTTTGGGAGGCTGGGGCTTGTACTTTTAGGAAGACCTGTGGATGTCTCCACCCTCTCCAAGCTTTTTTGAACCTCTTGGTCTGTTTCTTCCCAATTGAGAGGCCCTGGAGAGGCTCTGCTTGGGCAGGTTTTGAGGAGGAAAGGGCAACCAGGCAGGGATGAGGGGTTAATCCAACGTTGGGTGGGATCCTGAATGAGATGGGATCCACTGCCTCCTCAACCTGTGCTTTTCCAGGGCTGGGACCAAGTGGGACCTGGTGTTCCCTGTGGGAGAAAGGGAAGTTTGTGGTGTTTGCCATGAGGAAGGCAGCCAAAATCTGCCCCTCCTGGTGTCTGGAGGAGCCTCCATCATGTGCAGAAGTGAATTTATGGAGCCTCACGGGCTGGAGCACAAGCCTGTGGGGGAAGAATTGAGGATTAATCCCAGCAGGGTTTATTTATTGACTCCCTCCCCATCCCAGCACACACCTTCCAGCATCTCCCATCTCTCCCTGCAGTCCCTGGTGTGTTCTGTGTCCCTGCACAGCCAGAGGGAGTTGTGGGCTTCCCCAGCCTGGGTCACCTTCCTCTTCCTCAGCCCTGGAATGTGCTGCTGCTGCTGCTGCTGCTCTTGGGGAGGGCAAAGCCAAACCACATCAGCTCTGGATGTGCCTGAGACATTACAAACTTTTTATGGGATAATTTGCTGATCAAAGGGAGCCATCCAGGAGCTGACACAACCCATTCGTTCCCAATTAGGGGTGTTGTGCTAACGACTGCTGGATGACACCGTGCAGCAGGAGAGGGGCTTTTTTAAAACAATCACTTTTTCCCTGGTTCCCGGAGCCGGGAGGTGAAAGCCCATCCACTCCCACGAGGGGACTTTTCCTTCTGCTTTCCCATCTCCTCAGCCCCGAGGAGAGCCTGTGGATGATGCCTTCCCTGCTCATCCCTACGGAAAGGCTTTGCCTCTCGGCATCTGGGCTGCTCCTCCTGCCCTGTGAGGGCAACAAGTGCAGATAACCAGGGGCTCCGCATCCCAAAATTCCATCCTTGGTGCTCCACGTGCTTTGTGCAGCCGTGCAACAGGTTTTCATCCCTCGTTTGCAGGCTGAGCTCAGCTCAGGCTGGAGTGGGAATCGCTGCCGGGCGGGGAGGGAGGGAGGGGGCAGCTCTGGGGCGCTGGTGGAGAGGCCCCTGTGTGCAATTGTAAGGCCATGTCATTTTTTTTTCCTCTAAATCTTGTAATTTCGTGCTTCAGAGCACACCAAAGTGAGAGAGCCAGCGGGGAGTGAATTAAATTCCCCCCTGAGAGGCGGCGCGGTGGGGCCGAGCCGGGCGGGCGCTGGGGGCTCGGTGGCACCAGCCACTGTTTGGGTTTAGAAAGAGAAATTCTGGGAGAAGTCCGGCGTGGCACTTGGAGCTGGAATTACGTCCCTTCTGGTTTTCCCCTCTTTGCTGTTTCTTCTGTCCCCGTTGCACTGATTTTTGCTGGGCTGGGGCAGGGACCTGCCTCGCTGGGTCACCTCCGTGAGATGGCCCTTACAAACACCACAGGAATTCCATGGAGAAACCAAATCCATGCAAACCTCTGTTAAAGGACAAGTGGAAAAGCAAATAAGCCCAGGCAGCTGGTGCATGGACACAGGGTGCAACCAGAGTCCAGCACCCATCCTGGTGGGCGCCTTGGCCGTGCCGCGCGTCGGCGCTGAGCAGCCGCCGGTTGAATCCCTCCACCCTTGGCTTTTAACTGGAATTACTGTTTTCATTTCAAAAAGTAATTAAAATATCAGACCCTGAGCTGTCATAACTGTCACATGGTTTTTGTGTTCGCGTTACCGATGCACATCTATTCCTGTTAATAACAGGGAAATAAGGTGCCCGTGCAGGGACGCGCCTCGCGCTGGGGCTGCGGCGGCTCCGCCATCCGGACCACGGGCTCGTTCCATCCGTGGTTCCCAGCAGTGAATTGCCGTGTTTGTCCTCCAGGATTTTAGTTTTTTAATTGTTTGGATGAAGTGAGTTTGCAGGTTAGTGGTTGTGTAGCGTTTGAGTGTCCCCAGGGGTGCTCAGTGGCCGTGGGGCAGCTCTGGGTGTTCCCCGTGCTGGGCACGCCAAGCTGGGGGCAGTCCTGGGATGCAGCCCTGGTAATTCATCACAGGAATATAAAATAAGGATCCATCTGCTTTTGGAACTCCTTGTTTTTTCACTTTCTTGGGGCTGTTTGGTTTGTATGATGGTGACAAACACAGCCAGGCAGGGCAGAGGGTGCCCAGTGCTGCGTCTGGGGCACAGCTGTTGGGTTTGGGCCCCTTGCTATGAAATTTTTTTAATGATATAAGTGAGACCCTTTGCTCAGCCTCAGATTCAGCAGCAACTTTAAATTCCCTCTCATTTTGCAAGTGCTCTTGTAGTGCCTGTCCTCCTGCACGGAGCAGGTCGGGTGGATTTATCCACCAAAAAATAACATGGTACAGCTCAGGCATCCTTTGCTTCAGATCTGTTCATATGCTCTTCCCAAAAACCCCTGTGCAAAGGAGCACAGGGGGGACCTAAAATGCAGGGAATGAGTTTTCTTGGATGCTCCATTTGAGGAGTGGCCCTGTCTTGGGGTGCTGTGGCTGCTCTTCGGTTTCAGTCACGGGGTGAGCTCTGTGCTGAGGTGCATCCACGGGTGCCACGGGCAGTGCTGCTCCATGTGCCAGTGGGTTTGGGAGGGAGGGATGGAGAGGCAGTGCACAAGGCTGGGCTTTATTCTTTTTAGCTGGAAGCACAGGGATTTAGCAAGCAGCCCTTCCTCGAGGTGCAGGGCTGCTCCTGGAAGCTGGGCAGGGATTTATGGGGGATGACAGGCAGGGACCCGCCGGGCTCTGCCCCCGCGCTGGCCCTAACGCAGCCCTGTCCTGCAGGCAGGGCTACAATACCCTGCTTGTTCAGAAACGTGCCCAAAAAAAAAACCAGAAGGAAGGAAAAGAATTCTTTAAAAGCAGAAATAAGGAGCGAAGGAGGAAGCAGGTCTGGGAGCAGCGGGTTGTTTTCCTCAGAGTTTTATTCCTTCTCCTGGCTCCCAGCTCCTCAATGAAGCTCCTTTTCTCAGCTCACACTTGCTCCTCTCTCCTTCTTGTCTCTTCACAGGATTTTCCTTCGTTTCCCCTGCTTTCTCCAGCTGTGCACAGTGCTGTGCATGGCTCAGTTGTGCCTGGGTGTGTTTCACAAGTGTATTTGATCGATTTATGTTGGTTTCTCCCTCTTTTGCCTGTGGTGTGATTCCCAGCGAAATGCCTTCATCCCTGCAAACAGCTTAAGGAAACCCATCGCTTTTTCTAGGCAAACACCCCCAGAAATAAGCAGGTTTAGTGGGAGTTGCTTGTGGGAGTTGCTGAACATCTCCTGCATCACCATCAGCTCCCTGCAGACACATTCCTGGATTGATTCAGGGTGTGATCCTGCACTTGGCCTCACCCAAGTCTGGATGGTGACTGGAACTTTCTGGTGCTCCAGTGTAACAATCAGATGTAAAATTAAATATTCACAGTGCTTTAGACACGAGGGACATCAGCGGCAGCAGAACTGTGGTGGTGGCTCCGTGCAAGGGTGGAATAAACCAGCCAGGAGCTGGAGCTTTGGTCAGGTGCTGGTTGTGCCAGGGCTGGAGTCTGGGAATGACCCTCGGGACAGTCTGCCAGTGGCACGGGGCTGCTGGACCTGGTGACTGCTAAAGATGGGGCGGGGGTTTCTGGAAGAGGATGGAGTTGCTCCCAGCTTCCCCTGGCCTTCCATGGCTCTGGGGGGGGTTGGAATAGGTGGTCTATAATGGCGTGTACTGGTCATACTGGTGTGGCAGGGAATGCTGCCCTCCCCATACATCCCTCGCACCCCGTGAATCAAACCCGTGGAGAACCAGAGCTGGAGGGGGAGTGTGCCCAGAGGAGGAGGAGGAGGAGGAGGAAGAGGGCAGCCTTCCTCCTGCCCACGGTGCTGTGTCTCTTTTGCAGGCTCTCCAGGTGGCACGCCAGTTCCTGCTGCAGCAGGCCACGGGGCTGAGCTCCCCCAGCAGCAACGAGGGCAAGCAGCCAGCGGTGCAGGTGAGCCCCCAGCACGGGTCCCCCCTCACCCCTGGGCGGGAAGGGCTTGGCTATAGGGTCACCTCCCTGGTCGGGATGGCTGGAGCACACAGAGAGTTAAATCCTCTGTAAAGTTCCTGAAATTTCTTGGGAGTTTTTTTTCTGGGGGAGGGGGGTGGTCCCTGTTTTGTGCTGATGTGGTGGGAAAGGGGGATGCCAGGGAAGGGTTGGCTCCAGAGGAGAAAGGATTGGGGGGGAAGGTGACCATGTGCCACCTTACCATGGGATGCATTTCATATAGGGAGGCACAGAGTTTCCCAGAGTGGGGGCACCTCAGGATCAATGCTGGGTGCAGTGAGTGTGGCACAGGGGCTGGAGCCAGGGCAAATCCTCCCACGTGGGACAGCTGCTGGGACAGAGGCCTGGTTGAGGTGGGATTTGTAGCACTGTCAGGGAAGTGGGGCTTTGGGTGGGCACAGCATCCTGCTCCCAGAGGGATGGGGGGGACCACCCCTTTGCTCCACTGCTCTGCCAAAGGAAAGGGGCTGAAAGTGGGAAGAAAAGGAGCAGAAGAGGGGTGAAATCTGGAGAGAGGAGGAGGCAGGAAGAAGCAAAGCCCCAGCGATGGAAAGTGACAATTTAAATAGCTGTGTGGAGGGGCTCTCCCTTCAGGCTAATTAAATTTATCGGAGAACAGCAGGTTACCTTATTAGAGCCACGTGGGTTTAATTAACAAAGGAAAGTAATTAGCACAAGCGCTCTCGGAGCTGGAGGTCCTGCCTGTGCCAGGCTGAGCCGTGTGGCAGCGGGAGGGCAGTGGGAGCGGGGCTGGGATGGGCAATCCCAGGCTCCTCTCCCAACTTGGAGAACCAGGACACGGCTGAGCCAACCAGCAGCAGGTCCTGGGGCTCCCAGGGGTCAGGGGAGCCCGGGACCCCCGGCTGCCCCTCCGGGTTGGGAAGCAGCAGCTGGGTACGAGCAGTGGGAGTTAGTCAGGGCTCCCGCGGCACAAACAGGCGGCTTTTTCCAGCGGTGCTCGCAGGAAGGAAATGCAGTCACTGCATGGAAAATGTCTGCAGAGGACAAAGGCAGCGAGGGTGAAGTCAGATTCCGGTAACCGGCGCCTCGCTCCCCTCCGTGGGTGTGTGTCCCTGCACTCCTGCTGCCCATCCCTCGGTGCTCTCCCCGCCGTATTCCCGGCTGGATACACGTGCTGCTGCTTGGACATCCCGTCCTCCCCTTCCCTGCTGCTCCCCAGCCTCCCCTCCCTGCCCATCTGGCCGGCGGCTTCGCCGGAGCGAACTGGATCTCCTTCCTCTCCCCTCCTCCCTTTCTGTGTTGCAAAAGGACTTGTGAAAGTTGTAGACGTGAGTCAGAAATAGCTCATAACTCAGCAGCGAGCGGCTCTTCCTCCCCCCGCGGCCCCGCCGGCAGCTGGAGCGGGATCTGACCGAGGGGAGATAGAGGATTAAGCAGACTCCTTTGAAAGGAAGTTTATCTAACGGCAGAGTGGTGTGGATGAGACTGGCCAGGACGGCGGGGGGAGGAGGAGGAGGAGGAGGAGGAGGAGGAGGAGGAAGGCTGGGTCCCAGCGCAGCAGCCCCTGGCTGGGGAGGGAGCAGGGAGCGCGGCAGGATGGGAGGGTCGTGGAAGTGTTTGGGAACTGGGGTGTCCTTGGGGTGCCAGCCTGGGATCCCACGGGCTTTGCCTGTGGATGTGCAGGCTGGGGAATGGATTTTCACAGCGGTTGGGTATTTTGGGGAGTGGGGGAGAGGTTGTGTCCGTGGCCTCCCCTCAGCTCTGTGCCAGCCGGCTCCTGGCCCCCGATCCCATGGGGAGGGAGCAGGAGAGTGCTGGCAGAGAGAGCAGGAGCCCCCACACCCAGGAGCACCACAGACCCCCCGTGCTTGCCCACACTGTGCACTCTCCCTGTCACCCCCTGATGGGGACGGGACATTTTCGGGGCACCAAGCCAGCGGGAATATTAATGACATTCCCAATGGCGTGTGCTTAAAAACAACCAGGGAGCTGCTGGGCTCCGGAGCATCCTGGAGTTGGTTTTTTTTTGAAGTATGGACCCTCTCTCTCCCCAGATGCCTGGAGGTGTGTGTGGAGAGCTTCACGCTGACGCTCAAGTTACAGCTGCAGCTAAAAAAAGGGCGAAAACCCCTCCACCTTTGGGTGTTTTAAAAAACCGTAAAAATGGTTTTATTTCTCTGCAGCTTTAAAACTCTTGGAAACTTGGTGGGTGCTGACAAAGTGTTGCGTTTGGGGACTTTTGGTGCTGATGGACCGCAGGGTGTTCCCATCCTGCCTGGGGCTGGTGGAAGCAACATGTCCTTCTGGGATCCTGCTGGGATCTGGGGTCTGGGAAATGGAATGAAGTGCTGGAAGGGCAGCACCCGTGTTCTCAGTGCTGGCTTGGAGACCCCTTGGAATCACAGGGTGCCCTCTTTGGGGTCCCTCCCCGGCTCAGCCCTCGGAGCTGGGGGTCTCCCCTGGCTGAAAGGGGAGAGGGGCTGAAGGGCGCCAGGGGAAGGGAGAGGAGTTTGGAGCAAACTGCGGGAAATTGCTTTTCTTTTGTCTGCTGCGCGGGGAGGGCAGCGGAGCGGAAAAGTGTATTTTGTTGATTTGAAACTTGAGTGAAATGGGTAATGAAGACAGATCAATACCAGCCCTTCTGCGTTCCCTCTCCAGGAGCAAACCCAGCAGCCCGTCCGTCTCTGCTCACGCCGCGCTCGGTTTTTCCGTTTGAACTTGCAGCATCACTGTCTGTCCCTGCTCCCACTCCTCCTTCCCGGGGCCCCCGCCACCATCCTGCTCTGGGATTGGCATCGTGGATTAACAGAGGAGCAAAGTCGCTTCAGTCCCTGTAGATTGGTCAGTGTGATGAGCTGTGCCAGCCCCCCGTGCCCGTGGTGTCCCCCCAGGGATGCTGCCTGGGTGATGCTGAGGGCAGGGGCTCACCAAGGAGGGGGCTGTGGGCACTCCAGCACTGTCACCTCCCCAGCCAGCTCCTTCCAGCTTCCTGGAGCCCAGCCACGTGCCATTAGTGCCTCCCTGGTGGGAACACCATGCTAACGAGGATGCACTAATGAGGATGCACGTTGGGCTGAACACGCTAGGGATTGATTCCTCCTTTCCTTTACATGGAGCTGAACATCAGAGCCTGGTGTCCTCTATGCTGGTGCCTGTTCCCTTGCCCTCCTGCTGCCACCCCCACTGAGGGCAATCAGTCCTTTGGTGCTGAGGCTGTTCAGAGGGTTCATAAAACAAACCACAGCCTCAAAACCACATGGAGCTGAGCTCAGTTTCCCCTCTGACCCCGGGTGGATTTTAGTCCGTCGTCTCTGTCCCACCCTGGTGAGGTTCAGACACAGCGTGGTGTGAGTGGAGGGATGGCAGAGCAATGTTTGGGTGGCCCTGTGCCACCCTCAGGGTTTATAAACCATGGCTGGGGTCACGTTGGTGTCAGTGGCATCAGTGCCTGGCCCCGGGCGCTCGGAGCTCTCGCAGACGGTCTGAGCCAGCTGGATGTTGGAGCTCTCCCAGGGATGAGAGTGCAGGAGAGGACGCCTGGATGTGCCTGGGGGGTTTGGTTTGCTCTTCTCCTGTGAGAAGTGGGTGCTCTGGGGTGGGGATTTGCTCATCCCCTGCCCCTAAAACAGCAGAACTCGAAGCTGCTCCCGGTGTTTGTTTCCTCCCTTCTGTTCCTGACCTCCTCGGTTTGTTTCTGTTGGGTTTGGATTTGAAAAGGGTGTTTAAAATTAGGAAAAAAGAGCACAAACATGTTTTCTGTTGTTTCTGATGGGGACTTAAACTCCAAGATTAGATCAGAGCGAGGATGTGCAGCCTTGGGCTCTGTGGGAACCCCGGAGCACCCCAGGGCAGCTGCTGTGCACAGGGAGAGGTGTGTTCATGCTGGTGGTCCCAGAGCCCTCCTCGGGTCAGCAGGGCTGTGGGGACGAGGTCTGGGCTGTGGCTGCCCTGGCGAGGGAGCTGGGCTGTGTGGTTTAGGTGTGGTTTAGGTGTGGACCAGGGGATGCTCCTTCCCGTAGCACTGGTGACGTGCTGCCCCCGGCTCCCCTGGGGCCATGGTGGCTCCTGTGGTGACCTCCCGGCGTGGGTGACGGCACAGCTGGGAGGTGAGGGTCGGAGCAGGGATGCTTTGAGGCTGAGCAAACCGCGGGCTGACGGAGGATGTCCCCACGCCGTGCCAAGCCAGCTGTCCCCGGGGTCAGGAGGGCACCGTCCCTCTGGCAGCCCCGCCGTGCTGAGAGCCAAGAGCAGCCCTCGGGCCGTGGCTTTCCCTGCTCTGCCTCGTGCCTGGGAGTTCAATCTGCTTCCCATAAAAAAGAAAAAAAAAATTCAAGAAAAATTTCCCTTAAGAGCCTCGCTCCCTCTCCCGCCACGTTCCACCCAACCAAATCCTGGTTCCCTCAGCCGGCTTTGGCAGCGCTGCTCCGGGCTCCCGCCGAGCTTCCCTGGAATACCTGCCTCGTTTTCCACCCACCGCCTGCTGATCCGTGCCCGCCCGTCCTCTGGCACGCAGGGATTACGACCGGGACCGCCTGGAAAATCACCCCCGGAGATGCCGCTGGGCGGCCGGAGCAGCGCCGGGTGTTTCTGGGAGCAGCCGGAGCTGTTAGTAAGCAGTTCTGCGGGGTGGCAGCCGGCCAAGGCATGAGTCAAACCCTTCCTGACTCGGTGTCTGGCAGATGCCAGCTCGTGACGCGTCGGCCGGGGACCAGCCGCTGCTGGGACCTGCTTCCCGAGGGATGTGCCGGGTGTGAGGACATTCCCCGGCTGCTCCGGTGCCCGGGGGTGGAGGGGGGTGTGGAGGAGGCAGCTGAGTGACACTCACCCCTCCTACCACCCCTGCTGCTCCTGCTGGTGCCCTTTGGCTCTCGCTCGCCTTGTTGACCACTCTGTCTGCCCAGGTCTCAGCTTTTGAGGTGGTTGTTGCCCAGAGCCCCCCGTTCTCCAGGGATGCCAGGCTGGCCTTGATTCCTGCCATGGGGAATCTGGCACACCGGCGGTCACCGAGTGCCGTGGCTGCAGGTGAAGGGGTGTCCCGGGGCCACACTGTGCCCTCACCCTCCCCACTGGCAGATCAGCTGCCTGCAGGTGGCTTTTTGGCCAGGTTGGGATGGACATTTCCATCCCCCTCTTGTTTTGCCAGGGCAGCAGCTGTCACTGTCCCCAGCAGAGGTTTCTGGGATGAGTGGCTGCAGTGGGAGCAAAACTGGCTGTAAGTGGGAATTTCCCCTTTTACTAAAGTAAGTTCCCACTCTCCCTGGAAACCTCCACTGGGAGAGGGGTGTTTTCCATGCTGTGGGGAAATTCTTCATGTGGCTTTGGCATCCCCTGGGGCTCGAGGAGGCAGCAGAGCCCGGATGACCCTCACAAACACCAGCACCGGTTCGCCCCGTTCCCACCTCAGCCCCGCACGAAGCCACCACCATTTCCCCCGTGTCAGCTCCGCATCCGAGCACGGAAGAAAAAGCCATTTAATGCAGACAAAGGTTGTATGAAAATATAATTCTGCTTTTGTTAGCAGCCATCAAACTCTAAAAAGCGTCACTTTTGTTTTCTTGTAACATTGTGAAAACCTCGTGTCGGATCGAGAGCTGGGGCCCTCTCGACTAATCGCCTCTCCTTTGTGTTTTTAGATTATAGGGGCAATTAGTGTTGTCAAAACCTCTGGCAATTCTCTTTGCTCTTGACAGGGTGTCAGTCCGCTGGGCGAGAAATGGAAGGTGTTATAACTCTCCGGTAATTAGGATGCCTCCGATTTGAAAATGCCAGCAAACGTGTTGGAGGGGCCGTGGTGGGGGCGGGGAGGCCGCCCGGATGGGGGATGCGGATGAGCAATTAATTAGGGGCTCTCATTCCGAGCACGTTGCCAGCTGATGAATTGGCAGAGGGAAATTAGCAGGATGCTCAGCTCAGCTCCCGGGAGCGGGCGCGCACCCCGCCCGTCTCGCCCTCCTCGCCAGCTCCCCTCCTTCCCAGATGTTCGCCCAGGGCTTTGCACAGCTGGCTGGGAGCACCTGAGCACCCAAACAGCAGCTCTTCGCTGCTGCAGGGGGGGGGCTTGGGGCTCTCTGGTGGGTGCTGGAGCCCTTCCAGGGCGCTGTGGCTCATCCCTGAGGATGCTCCCCAGCCTCCGAGCCCTCCACGGCCGGAGCGGCGGGAGCAGCCCCAGCCCTTGGGTGGGAACTCGCAGCAATTAATCAATAACTGCGACATGAGGGCGGCTGGAGGGGGGATCACAAATGGAGCTCGACCCGTGTCCCACGCCTCCCTCCAGCAGAATGCCTGAGGAAATAGATAAAGCCTTGGCAGCCTCCCTTGAAGGTCAGAGCGCTCTGAACACCCACCACGGGTGGGAGGGACTGCACGGGGCCACCCTGTGGTCCCATCCCCACTGGGCTGGCTGGAGGGGGAGGCAGCAGCCATCTGCTTTCCAAGGGAAAGGGGGGCACCCAGGAAGGGTTATTAAATTGCAGCGAAGCCATAACTTTGCCCAAAGCCTTGGGAAAGGCTTTGGGCTGGTGGGATCAGTGGAAGACTGGGACGAGGCAGCTCTCGGTGGCTGTGGTTGGGAAGGCATCGTTGCTCCACCTGGACAGGACTCAGTAGGGCTGGAATCCATCACTGACACCTTCTCTGGAGCATTGCTGGGGGTGTGGACCCATATTTTGATAACCAAAGGCAGGGGCTGGCAGGTTCTCTCGGCCCTCCCTCCTCTTGGCATGGTAATTACGTGGGTTACCGGTGTCAGCTGGAGGTAAAGCTTTGATGTGTCTGTGGAGAACCTGGTAACCTCTTCCTCCGTGCTCTGCTTTGCAAAGTTATTTGGGTGATCAGTATCTTCCCACTTCCCTTGTGTTTCCCTCTGCCCTGCATCCTCCGGCACCTCAAGGGAAGGAGCTGTGGTTTGATGCCCAGTTCCCCCAGCTCAACTGCATTTAAAGAAGAGCACCCTGCCCTCAGGATGGGGGAGCTCACGGTTTAGGAAGCTTCACCCCAGTGCCAGCTGCACCACGGGGCACCTCCCTGCCATTGCCACGTCCCGGAGGTGGCCTTGGCATGCCAGGATGGACCAGGGACCTGAAGGTGACGCAGGGATTGCGGGGCATGAAGGATGTTCCAGGAGAGGTTGGAGGCACCTGTAGGCTGTTGGGGAGGGTTTCCCAGGGTTGGAATGGGGAGTGGTGACGTGTCCGTGCTCCCGCAGGTGCCCGTGTCCGTGGCCATGATGTCCCCGCAGATGATCACCCCGCAGCAGATGCAGCAGATCCTCTCTCCGCCCCAGCTCCAGGCCCTCCTGCAGCAGCAGCAGGCGATAATGCTGCAACAGGTAACGCTGCACCTGGGCTGCATCCAGCCAAGCAATTCCCACTGGGGCCGGGAATGCTTGGAGCTCGCTGTGGGCAGGCAGATGGGTCCCTTCCTCCCTGGGTTCTCGCATTCTCCACATATTTCCTTGGGGATTCCCAGCACGTTCAGGGACAAAAACAGCTGCAGGTGCTGACGGTGCTGGCAAAGCTGGATGCTGCTGCTCAAAGCCCAGAAAATTCCTGCATGAGATCTGGTTTGGGGCTGCCCAGCTCCTGGGAAGAGCTGTGGTCGGGGTGGGTGCTCTTGGCTCGATGCACCCCAAGCAGAGCCCCCGTGGCTGCTGCTGGGCCTTGGGCATGTGCCTGTGTCCAGCTCCAGACCTGAGCACGTGGGTTTGTTTCTCATGGCCTGCTCAGCTTTTCCGGAGTGTTCAGTCGGATGGGGAGGGAAGAAAAAAAGAGGAGAAGAAGAAGAAAAATAACAAACCTCAACTCCGAAACAAAACAGGTCTGCTTGGGTAAACACCTCCCGCCGGCGGGAGGGAGAGAGAGGGAGAAACCCCACAAGCATCCTCCACACCCTTCCTCCTGCCTCCAGTACCTGTTTACTCCAAACAGGCTGATAAGGATTCAAGGTTGGCCCCAGGGAAAGAACAAAGGGTAAACACTACCCTGGGTGGGTCCTTCCACAAGCCTCTTTGGAGCCGGATAAAGAAACACGTTTGACTGCAAATTAAACAACCCAGGCCGGAATAGCTCGCATTCTCCACCGGCAGAAAACCAAACATCACACCTCTCACCCCTGACCCAATGTTCCTGCGCCTGCTCAGGCCCCGCTGCAGCCCTGGCTCCGGCTGGCTCTGGGGTAAACACCCAGCCCCTCCAAACCTGTTCTCCGGCACAAACGGCGGAGTTGCTGCTGTCAGCGCCGTCAGCCCCGAGCTGATAAAGGATTCCCGGCATCCACAGGGGCATTCCTGAGCCCCTGCACGGGTGGGAGGGGGCTGCGGGGTCTCGCTGACCTCCCCGTGCTCTGTCCCCCCCTGCACACACCAAATCCATCACCCACAGTTTATTTAGGGGCCGGGGGGGAGCTGCCTGTGGACACTGGGAGCCTCTGCGGTGGTTCATTGTGGGGCTGGGGGGTTTGTCCCCGTGTTCCTGGACCAGCAAAGCTCTCTGCTTTGGCCAGGGGGCTGCGAGGGGCTGGGCTGCCTGTGGAGGGGGTGCAGGGCTGAGCCCCCAGCACTCATAGGGTTGCACCAGCCAGACCAGGGGCTGTGGCTGCTTCTGACCCCTTCCCAGCTGGGAGTTCCCCTGGCTCTCAATGCGATTGCCAGGGGGGTTTTGGGGTCCCACCATGCTGAAAATGGGGTTTCCCCATTGCTGAAACAGTTACGTGCCAGAGCACCCAGGGCTGCTTCTGAGGGACATTGAAACAAGCAGCGGGTTTGGCACTGGTGGTGTTGGGAGATTTCACTTGCTGTGGGGTTCCAGAGCCTTTGGGAACGTGTGCCCAGGGTTATTCTGGTGCCCTGACTCCTCTGTTGGGTCCTTTCCCTCCCACCCTGCAGCCAGGAGCCTGCCCTGATGACACAGTGCCAGGAGCTGACGTGGTTGTGGCAAAGCCTGGTGCTGGGCTTGGGGTGTTTCTGCTGCTAATCCGGTTGCTCTCTCCCCTCCCAGCTGCAGGAATACTACAAGAAGCAACAGGAGCAGCTTCACCTGCAGCTATTGACACAGCAGCAAGCTGGAAAGCAGCAACCCAAAGAGGTGAGCTCACGTGGAGGGCGCTGGGCCATCAGATCTGGCGGCAAATTAAAGGAGGACCGGAGCACAACAAGGTGTGCAGGAACCCCAGCACCCCGGGCTGGGAGCCAGCAGGGATGGGACACGGGGGCATCCTGCTCTGGGGGGTGTTGGATGGCCAGTCCAGTTGCTGGGAGTTGTTGTTCTTCCTCCTCCTGTCTGTGATCTGGCACGTGCACCGAGCTGCGCCGTTCTCAGCAGCGTGTCCAGAGGCTGTGGGGTGTGTGGGGAGCAGTGAGGTCAGGGCTGTGGGGCTGCTGGACCCTCCCCAGGGGCAGGGGCAGGTCACTGCCCCCAGCACAGAGCAGGGCTCCCCAGTTCCCCCCGGGGTGGGGGCAGAGGAGGCTCAGCTCAGCCCTTGCCTGGCACAGCTCGAGTTGGGCAGCCCAGTCTTGGCTGAGCTGGCACAGCAGCACCCTGGCAAGTAGGCAGGGCTGGTCAGATGGGAACCCAAAGCAGGGCTTTTCCTGCCAGGAAGGGCGGTTTTCCAAAATCCCAGTACCGTGTGGAGTAGCAGTGATGCCAGCAAAGGGCTTTTCCAACGGGACACACTCAGCCAGGGGATGCTCTCAGCCCCTGCTGGCACCGTGTTGGCAGCAGTGGGCCCTGTGCTGGGGAGGTGGGTGCCTGGTGGAGAAGCATTTCATGCCCATGTGATTCCATCAGTGTTGTATAACTCCCTTTACACAACAGTTTCTGCTGTCCTTTCCCACAGTGATGCCCTGCCTGGTGCTGTGGCTGTATTTTGGGGATGTGCCAGTCACACAGAGGCTGGGGACCAACACCAACCAGCAGATAGCACCACTCCCTTCCTTTTCCTTATATATTTTTGCCTCTCTCTCTCCCCAAATTGCTGCACATGGTCCCGGGTGGGGTGTTCTGTGCAGTGCACGTGCTGATTCATGCCTGGCATTGCTGCCCTTCTATCCAGTGTCCTTCCCTGGGTGCCCAGCACAGAGGGACGTGGGGCTGAGCCACTCACTCCACGTGCTTGGCCAAGCATCAGTGCAAGCAGGGGATTGGGGTGCTGGGGCTGTTCGTGGCAATCACCCCTCCACAAATCCAGCAACCCTGATTAATACTCAGCCATTCTCAGTGCTGAAATTCAGCTTTATTGGGGGGAGGAAAGATTTTAAGCCCAGGCTGTGCATTGGTGTGGCAAAGAGGGGACTCGATGGCAAAAACACATTGGCATCAGAGGACCAGGGTGGCTGGAGTGGCTCAGGGTTGGGTTGGCACCTTCTCCAGTCTCTGCAGACTGACCTGGGCTGTCACTGCGGGATGGTGGCGTATTTACGGGGTCAGGTTTATCAGAGCCATCTGCAGGAGCTGGAGTGGCTGCTGGTGCTCCAGGAACGGGGGAGGCATAAATCTGAGCTTCCTCAAGGACTTTCCTCTTGGCCGTGGCGATGTTCTGTTGCAGCTCTGAGCGGGGATATAATTAAGCTCTAACAAAGCACTTGCTTAGCGGGCTCCGGTTTAAAAAGCGCGTGTTAACTTTTAATTAAATGGTACAGAGGAAACGGGAAATTCATCCACTAAGAAAGAGAGGCTGGGGGGGGGGGGAAGGGGCATCAAATGCTACTGGAGGGGTGTGTATCCAGCTCCCGGCAGCATCCTGGCTAGGAAAAGCACCGAGGGGGTCCCAGCAAGTGGATGTCAGCGTTTCCCCTCCCCAAACCCCCCCAGACGGGCTTTGTGGGATTGGGTTCACCCCGAGAATGTGGGCAGCTGCTGTTCATAAAGCCCGTGCTCTGCTTTGCCTGCCCCGATGGCACAGGGAATAGCTGGCACAGGGAATAGCTGGCGTGTCTGGGATGCCGCCGGAGAGCCGCTCTTGGCCGGCGTCGACTCCTTCCTGGAAACCCGCGGCCGTGTTTCATTCCAGCCCCGCTGCGAGGTTTGTAAACCCAGCGCCTTCTGCTTCCCCTCTGCCCCATCCCCAGGGCTCCTCTGGCTGTAACTGGGAGCCAGCGGCTCAGCCGCGGGAGCGGCGCCGGGAAGGTGCCAGGAGCAGGGAGCAGCATCTCCTGGAGGAGCAGCATCTCCTGGAGGAGCAGCATCTCCTGGAGAAGCAGCATCTCCTGGAGGAGCAGCTCAGATCTCCTCGGGAGCGCCACAGCTGGGTGTCCCCTGGCAGGGAAAGGGGAAGGGGAGAACAGGAAAGGAGGATGGAAACGCATCAGAAGTGCCTGTCGGCAGCATCCTGTCCCTGTCCCGGGGGGTGCTGTGTGTCCCTGGGCTGGGGGGAGCTGTGCTGCAGGGGGGGCATGAGGAAGGGGCCAAGCAAGACAGCTGATCCATGAATCCATGAGTCCCACTGGGATAGGGCTGAGCTGCAGCACATCCCAGTCCTCCAGGAGCATTTTCCTGTGCTAGGGTGTGATGTTGAACCCCCACCCCCAGCGGCATCCTGGGTGTGGGGGGAACGAGGAGCTGTGGTGCAGGGCTGGGAAGCTCCAGGCAGCCCCTCACCCTCATATCCTGCTCTTCCCTGAACACTTGGCTGCTCCAAGCCCAGTGCTGCGAGGGGCATCCGGCTGCAGAGGCCCCAGTATTCCCTGAGGGCGAGGCTGGAGGGTCTCTGTGTGCCCCCAGAGCTGCTGGGGGCGGGGGTTTGTCCCTCTGCCGAGGCAGACGGGGTTGGGGAGGGGGGTGGCGCAGGGGGGGCTGCTGGCGCCTCACCCCAGTGTCAGCTTAATGAACTGCTCCTGTCAGTCCCGCGTGTCACGGCGAAACTCCTCCTGATGTGCTCATAAATCAAAGTGACGGCGGCTCTTACCCCGTAGCTGCACCCGCTCAGCTGCGTCTAATGCACGGCAGCGCTCGGGACCCCGGCCCTGCACTGGGGCAGGAGCTGGGAACGGGCTGAGGGGGGGCCCAGCGCAGGATTTGACCCTTACGCAGAGCCAGCTCCTCTGGTGGGTGCTGGGGGTCCCCTCTGGGCGGGACTTGGGTGGCTTTTCCGAGGGGAGCAGAGCTCGTGGGGTGAGGACTGGCACGTGAGGTTTTCCGTAAGGCTGGGGCTGTAATCCAGGCTCTCCCCGCCCTGCCTTCTCCAGGGAGAACCTGGCTTGGAGCCTGCAGGCTGGTGGGTGGGTCTGCAGGTGGGTGCACCATCACTCGGGGGTTTGGAGGTCTGTGGTGCCACAGTTGTTCCCCAGTGATGGCAGATTGGCTCCCCCGGGGGGATGTGGTCCTTGGTTTGACTCAGAGCAGCACCAGGACTCCTATTCCTGGGCTGGTCCCTGTGTCTGAGGTCTGGTGAAGCTGGAGGGATGCACATGTGGATTTGAAGCATGTCAAGGTCCAGGTTTCAACCTGGACACCATCCCTGCCAGAACCACGTGTGGGTCAGGGCTGCCTGAGGGCTTGGGGCGTCCGACTCCACCGGCCACAGCTCCGGTCAGGCCAGACTGGGAGAGCCCAGCCGGGCTGTGGGGCTCAGGGACGTGCGCAGGGATCCTCATGACTTCATCCCTTCATCCACTCCCAGTTCCTCCTGCTCCACAGTCTGGAAGTGACGTGAGTGAGGCTGTGCTGGAGCAGAGCTCGGGCTTGCCCCGGGGCCCCCGGGGAGGGCGGTGGCGGAGCCGGGAAGAGGAGGAGAATCCCATCCTGTCCCATCCCATCCCAGCTGCTGTTTCTAACCAAGGCAAGGGCACTCGTGTCCATCCCACGTGGTGGCAGAGCTTTCTCTCGCCGGGAGGGGACACCGTGGGGGACAGAGCTGCCTCTGTTGAAGCCCTCTGGCTGCAGCCTGGTCCTGCCTGTTTTCCTGTATCCTGCTGATCCCATGGCCTGAAGCCCTCCTGGCTCAAGGAGCGAGGGTGAGCACAGGGATTTCTCTTCACTGAGCAGAAATCGCTTTGATTTGTGCCTTAATCTTTAAGCCTCAGAGGTGCAGGGCTGAGGCAGAGCCAGGGAGGATCTAGACCTGACGCTGGGGGGGACAATTCCACCGTGGCCCAGAGGTGGACAGGGCAGGGAGGGTCTGCATATCCCTCTGAGGCTGAAGAAACTGGAATTAAACTGTCTCTGTGCCCTAGACAGGATTCGTGGATGTGCCTGACTTTGCAGAGCATAGGGGTTTGTAGGGCAGTGTCTGGATCTTGTCCTCTCCCTCTGATTCACAAAGCCACGTCTGAGCATCCACAGGGATCCTCCTGCATCCCATGGGCCCAGGGTGCTGCTGTGGGTACAGCACCACGTGCTGATTCCAAACTCAGTCATGGACTGGGATTGCCATGGAGAGTCTGTCTGCTGTTCCCTGCTGATGTAGCCTCGGGGATCATCAGGAGATGTGCCAGGTCCCTGGGATTCCCAGTGCATCGGGGCCTGAATCCCTACAACACTCAGGAAAAACAAGGACATTTCCCATAGCACAGCTCTTGTGCTCATCAGTGAGGACACAGACATGAAAATACTTCTTTGAGGGGCTGCAAAGTGCCCGCACTCCCGAGGGCAGTGAGGTGGGGGATGTGCTCCAGCACGGGCTTGGCCGGTGCTCTCCGGCTCCTCGCTCCCTGCCGGCACCGTCTGCCCAAACAGGGGGGTTCGGGGGGTTCACGGGGTCACGGAGCCGCCTGCCCCGCTAATGAGGCCGGGCAGCCCCGGGGCAGCTCCCCTCTCCTGCCCGGCTCGGATTAGCAGCTGCCTGTCCCCAGCCCTAATTGAATTCTCTCCCCTTCACTTAATTCTCATGGATTTCTCGGCGCCTCCCCGGGGACCCGTCCTGCCTAACTAGTTTAGGGCCAGCGATGCTGGTCAGAGCAGGGCTGGCTCCTGGGGACGGGGGGAGAGTCCCCTACCCGGGGGGTGCCTGTGGCTGGGGTGGGGGCACCGCTACTGGTGCTGGGCACCCCCTCCCCTGCAGACAGTTGGTTTCAGCCCCTCACCACGGAGGGGCTCATAGTGGTCGTTTTTGGCAAACAGGGATAATTTTCTGGCTTAAAGGAGGGTCCTGTGCATCCAGGGTGCTGGGAGCCCCCTTTTTTTACAACGACGTTGCAGCTGAGCCTCCCCCACGGGACCCCACAGTTGGGGTTCACACCCACCTCCCAGCACAGCTGGTTCTTTGCTCCGAGCAACTCCCAGCTCCGCTCACTCCCTCTCTTTCCAGCGCTTTATTTTTCCCTTCCCCTTTTCCTTTCCTTCCCCTCCTCTTCCGATAGATCAAAGCCTCCGTCCGGCTCAGCCGTGAGCCGAGCAGGCCCGGCAGCAGGATGGGGACAGGGGCAGCCCCAGTGCCCCCACCACCAGCACCCCTGGCTGCCAGCACCCCTCCCCGCGGCCCCCAGCCCCTGCCTCCCCTGCGGGGCTGGGAATAAGGCGCCTGGATTTGTCCCTTTTGTCTCGGCAGCCGTTGGGGAACAAGCAGCTGGCCTTCCAGCAGCAGCTCCTGCAGATGCAGCAGCTCCAGCAGCAGCACCTGTTAAACCTGCAGCGCCAGGGCCTGGTGAGCCTCCCGCCAGGGCAGGGCACGGTGCCCCTGCAGACCCTGCCCCAAGGTAAGGACCCCCACCCGGGGTGCCCCGCATGGGGGGGGGGCCCGTGGCTGCAGATTGCCCTGCTCTGGGTGAGGGGGGCTGGGGAGGGGCTCTGCCGTTGCTTTTTCTAATGCCCCCGAAGTTGGGGTCTGGTGGCATCAGCGGGCAGAGCTGGGGCAGGGTTGGGCTCCCGGGTTCCTTTGGCAGGACTGGGGCACCTCTTCCTCTGGCATAGGGGTGCCAGGGCGTGGGGAGAAGGGGTCTCCTCCCTTCTGGGAACAGCTCTGTGTGGCTCCCTGGGTGCTGAGAGCGCCTTGTTTTGGGCTCCCTGCTGGGGCTGTGCAGCCTCCCCTTGCCACTGCTGGTGCTGTGGGCTGGGCCTGGCTTTGGGTGATGGTTTCCCCGTGCTGGGCGAGGTCTGGGGAGCTGAGCTGTGCCAGGGGGCAGGGAAGGACCCTGTGGGTGCTGTGGGTTCTGCCCCGTGCCCCTGCTGACCCCCGGGCACTCTCTCCTGCCATAGCCGTGTGCCCCTCGGACCTCCAGCAGCTCTGGAAGGAGGTCACGGCTGCCCAGCCCGTCGAGGACAGCATTAAGCAAGAAGGTCTTGACCTCACCACCAACACCTCCAACTCTACCTCGTTTTCGGCCGCCAAGGTCTCGCCTCCCATTTCCCATCACCCTCTGCCCAATGGACAGAGCACCATGCACACGCCCAGAAGGGACAGGTAGAGCCGGGTCGGGCCCTGGCACTTTGTGTTTTTATTCCTGGAGAGGTGGAAGGGGCCGGGATCTGTCGGCTGTGGGGTTGGCAGCAGGGCTGGGGTGGGTGAGGGGGGATTCTGCCCACCCCACAAACGAGTCCTGTCGCTGTTTTGCTGCACCCCTGCGCCCATGGAGGGCAGTGAGCCGTCACTGTGGGGTCTCCTGTGGGTGCCCGAGGGCTGTCCCCGTGCACGGGAATGCTGGAGCATCCCAGCTGCCCTGTCTCATGGCCCCTTTCCCTCTTCTGCAGCTCTTCCCACGAAGAGACCCCCGGCTCCCACCCGCTCTACGGCCACGGAGAGTGCAAGTGGCCTGGCTGCGAAACCCTCTGTGAGGACTTGGGGCAGTTTGTCAAGTAAGTGTCCCCTTTTGGGGGGAGGATTTTTTTTTGGACAAGGGGGCAACCCACACTCTGAGGCTGGGTCAGAATGGAGCTGGTGGAGGGGAAGACTCTGGAAGTAGGTCCAGACACTCCAAAGTGTCTGCCCAGAGCCGGGGGACCCCATGCAGAAGGAGAAAACACACCAAGGGTTGTTGCTGGAGTTCCCCCATCCCTGGAAGTGTCCAAGGCCAGGTTGGACAGGGCTTGGGGCAACCTGGGATAGTGGAAGGTGTCCCTGCCCATGGCAGGGGGGTGGAACCAGATGGGCTTTAAGGTCCCTTCCAACCCAAACCATTCGTTGAGTGGACGACTCCAGAGAAGGAGAGGCCCCGTGCAGGAGGCAGGAGCAGGCAGGAGCGGGCAGCAGGCGCGGGGGGCTCCCAGCTCCCTCCTGGGGGGCGCGGGGGGGAGCAGATGGCAGCGCGGGAGCCCCGCTGACACCGCTTGTGGGCTCCGGCGCTGACTGATTAACTCTGCTGTCGCAGAGCCCTCTGCCAGCGTCAGGGTCAAACAAATTGTTTTCACGCTTCGTCAGAGGTTTACTTAATTAGTTCATTTGCAATTAGATCTCTTTGTAGCCGGGATTTTTAGCAAAGACATCAGAAGGAACTGACGGGCTCGCTCGCCGCTTCCCCCGCCTCCCCGGCTGTCTGCTCGGCCCAGGCGCCGGGCCCTCCATCAACCAGGTTTGGGGGTTTTACAGGCTGACCCTGCCCTCTGCCACACCTCTGGCTCCGCTGGGAGCATCCCTTGGACCTCACCAGCCTCCTCATTCCCAGGGAAGGAGCTGGGCAGAGGCCTTACACGGGAGGATGAGGAGGTGTGAAGGCAGCCTGGGGAGGTTGGGGTGGTGAGTGAGGGAGTGATTCAGGCTCCTGTGTCCTCCTTCCTCTGCCTCTGACTCATGGGGTGAACCCAGATGAGGCATCTCCTCCCACCTTGCAGGGCATGTTTGAATGGCACAGGGTAGACGAGCAAGCTGTGGTTTGGAAGCTGGAGCTGGAGTTGGCAGGGGATGGCCAGGGCTGGGTGACAGTGCCAGGAGAACCGTGCTGTGCCAGCCAGGGCTGTGGGATCCCTGCATCCCACCTGCCTGTCCCCCTTCCCAATGGACAGCTTCCCAAAAACACTGGTGAAGGGTTTCTGTCCCCTCTCTGCTAATGTGGGGACATGTCAGGCAGACAGAAAACTTCCAGCTCCCAAAGGCCGAGCCCAGCTGGAGAGTGGGCCTGGCCTGGAGTCTGAGCACCAGCTTTGAGCCTGCTCTGAGCATCACCTCCGTGGAGCAGCTCAGAGAGCCCCAGGATTGGGGTGAAAAGGGGCAGCGTGGCCTTTGAGCAGTGATTTATGAGGGAGAGGGTCAGTGGGAGGTGTCTCCATTCCTGCTTGGCACAGCCTGGGCTCTGACAGCCTTTTCCCTGGAGGAGCAGCCGTGCCCTCGCTCTGCTGTGCAGGGAGAGGAGCGGGGCTGAGGCACAGGGGGGTTTGCTCACCCAAGGGCTTGGCAGCTGGTCCCACTTCCCTGCCTTGTTTGTGCAAGTTGGGGCTGGAAGTCTCTCGCAAACAGCCGGGTGAGACTCCTGCTCTGCTCCTGGGGCACCTTCTCCTGGGGGCACCCCCAGGCTGCTGCTCTGCTGGGTTTGGGGGTGAGGACCCCCACAAGGGGCTGCTGGGATGTCCCTGCCTCTGCATCCCCAGGAGTCCCACCCCTCCCCGAGGAGGAGGGAGAGCAGTGAGGGCCAAAGGTCCTTCTGCTTCATAAACACAAAGCACCTCATAAACACGAGGCATGAAAGTGGTGGGATGAGGAACACCCTGGAAATGCCACCTTCTGCCTTCGGGGGTTTCCTTAGAGGGTGTAAGTCAACCTCCATAATCACACCTTTGTCCTGGAAACCTGCTTCTCAGGTCTTCCTGGCACCTCCTGCCAGCAGCCTTCTCCAGGAAAATCCGTGGGCTTTCCATCAGGCAGTGGCTGCTCCTGAACACCGTGTGGCTGCCCCAGGCAGGGCAGGGTGGGTATGGCCCCCTTCCAGCCCCGGTCTGGGGAGATGGCACAGCCTGGTTTGCTCAGTCTCTTGCGTGCCTCGGTTTCCCTTCTGCTCATCCCACTTGGGGCACCAGTGCCAGAGCATCCCTGAGCAATTTACAGGTCAGGGCTGATCCCAGGTGTGGCCCCAGCTGAGGGGGAGCATTTTGGGCATGTCCAGGCATAACCCTCTGTGTTCTCCTCCCCAGACACCTCAACACAGAACATGCACTTGATGACCGAAGCACGGCCCAGTGTCGAGTCCAGATGCAAGTGGTACAGCAGCTGGAGATACAGGTGGGTGCTGCCCCTGCCTCCATGGACACGGGTGTGAAAAGCCATCTCCTCCCCCCTCTGCACTCCATGCCTTGGCTGCTCTCCTCAGGGGGCAGAAGGGAGGTTGGGGACCGTGACCACCCACCTGGGGACTCGTTTCAAACATCCTTCCCAAACAGCAATGCTGGCCCTGGGCTACATCTGGGTGGAAATCAATCCCTGGGCAAATCTCAACCTGGTTCCCTCATACCAGCATCCCTGTGATGGGGCTGGAGGACAGGACAAGCCATCCCTCCTGCCCAAAGTGTCCCTGTGGGTACAGGGAGATGCCACAGATGCGGAAGGCACGTGCTGCCAGGAGGGTTCATGCCCACAGGTGGGACACGAGCTGTGCCACCTCCGTGGGAGCTGCAGGGCCACTGGGGTCCTTGGAAATCAGGCCACTTATTTTGGTGGCTGAGCGTGGTCTGTGGAGCCCAACTTCGGGGCGCTATTTTTGGAAAGGCAAGTTCTTTAAATAGAGCCTCTCTGGCTCCCCGACGTGCTGTGCATAATTCGGTTAATGGAGAAGGGAGGGGGGGGAAGAGGGGAGGAAATGGGGAGTTTTCATCTCAGGACTTGAAAGAGGGACAGGGCAGGGGTCTGTCAGGGGGTCAGTCACCAAGACCCCCGTGGTGTGGCAGTGCCTGGGTGCCCGGCTGGGGCTGGCAGGAGCTCAGGGTAGTGTGTGCGTGACATCGCAGGGTTCACTGGCCCAGGGGACAGTGGGATGTGATGTGGGGCACCCTTGGGAGCCTCCACCCTGAGTCACAGCAGCTCGGGGGGAGCTGTGGGATCCAGGAGAGGCTGCAGCCTCCTGGGTGATCCCTGCAATCCATCCCTGCTCCCCAGCCCTCGCCAAAGCGAGAGGTTGAAAGCAATTACTGGGGCTTAAAGAGGGGAGGGAAAGGAAGGGAAGGAAAAAAAAAAAAAGCTGAAGGGCGAGCAGAGCTGTGTGTGCAGAGAGGAACCTGCCACGGAGCCACCAATTATGAAGTTTAGAGCGCGGAGCTCCCGCTGTGCCGGCGCGGAGCGTCTGCATCACGAGGGGAGACCTGTCAGCTCTAATGAGCACCACGACAGCACTGAAAGCATCTGAGCTGCTCCAAACTTGCGGCAAACTCCGCTCTGGCTCCTGCCTTTAACTCCTTCCTCGCCCGGCCCCAGCGCCTGCCTGGGGATGGGGATGGGGAGGTGGCCGAGCCCTGAGCTTTGAGGGTCGTGGTGGAAAGGGAAGGTGGCGGAGGAGGGAGCGGGTGTCAGATCCCATCGCCTCCGCCGGCCTCAAAATCTCTCCTGGTGCCACTGTGAATATTTCACCCTCCTCCGCGCTCCGGGGAGTAAACAGGAGGGAGGGGGCAATTAAAGCGATGTTGGGTGTCCGGGGGGATGGATGGAGGGATGGGTGGGGGGACAGGGAGCTGCTGGGGAGCAGGAGGAGGGCGAAGGGGACAGTCATGTCAGGCACCAGGGCACAGGGATGAGAGCACCCGGGAGGGACTGTGAGGACTGTGGTGGGTGGCCTTGCTGGTGAGTGGCAGCATGGAGGGGTGGGAAGGGGCTCCCTTTCACCGTAGATTTTTCATCTAACTGCACACATGGAGCTGGAATGGCCCCTGTGCCCCCCACAGTGGGTGCTGCAGCTCCCATGGAGCCACAGCCCCACTGGGGCTCTCAGGAACCAGCATCAGGCAGGAGGTGGCACCTGGGGAGACACAGAGGGTCTGAGCTGCCTGCCCAGACCAGGGCTGGGGGGTCATTGGCAGCTTGTCCAGGCCACGGGCACCTCCATGGTGAGTTGGGCACTGCCTGACCATCTCCCTCCTGCTCCTTGCCCCCCACAGCTGGCCAAGGAGAGCGAGCGTCTCCAAGCAATGATGGCCCATCTTCACATGAGACCTTCAGAGCCAAAGCCTTTCAGCCAGCCTGTAAGCGTGAGTCCCCTTCCTGCCCTCTACGTCCCCACAGCTGCCCCTTCCCCCTCACTGCTGTCCCCTCCCTGCCCTGTGCATGGTCACCACTGGGTGGGCTCCGTGGGATGGACAGAGTGGATGTAGGTGCATCCCATCCCATGGCTGCATCCTCTCCTGCAGTTGCATCCCCATCCCTTGGTTGCCTCCCATCCTTGCCAGGCCCAGCAAGTGTCCCCCCTGCGAGCCCCTCCCTGGGTGCTCTGGGGCACGAGCCCAGCTCAGCCCTCCCCAGCTCCCGCTGTGCCAGGGGCTCTCCCAGCCCCTCCCTGCCTTCCCAACCACCCGCCCTGCCTCCCCCCTGTCTGTGCAGCTGAACCTGGTCTCCAGTGCCACCCTCTCCAAGAGCACTTCCGACACGTTTCCCGACGGTTTACCTCATCCCCCCACCTCAGCCACGGCGCCCATCACCCCCCTGCGGCAGGGCCCCTCCGTCATCAGCTCTTCCACTTTACACAACGTGGGGCCCATCCGCAGGAGGAACTCGGAGAAGTTCTGCACCCCGATATCTTCAGGTGAGCTCCGGGCTGGGGGCTCAGCAGCACCCTCCACGCTGCAGTCCCTGGGCCCCAAAGCAGGGTCCCTTCACCCCTTGCCCTCCCCTTTTCCTGTCGCCCCCCCCAGAACTTGCACAGAATCA